TTCATTTTGTTATTTACCCAGCAGTCATTCACGAGTTGTTCAGTTTCCATGCAGTTGTGCAGTTTTGAGTGAGTTTTTTAATCCTGAGTTCTAATTTGATTGCACTGTGATCTGAGATACTGTTTGTTATGATTCCTGTTCTTTTGCATTTGCTGAGGAGTGTTTTACCTCCAATTATGTGCTCAATTTTAGAATAAGTGCAATGTGGTGTTGAGAAGAATGTATATCCTGTTGATTTGGGGTGGAGAGTTCTGTAGATGTGTATTAAGTCCACTTTGTCCAGAGCTGAGTTCAAGTTCTGAATATCCTTGTTAATTTTCTGTCTCATTGATCTGTCTAATATTGATAGTGGGGTGTTAAAGTCTCCCACTATTATTATGTGGAAGTCTAAGTCTCTTTCTAGGTCTCTAAGAACTTGCTTTATGAATCTTGGTGCTTCTGTATTGGTGCATATATATTTAGGACAGTTAGCTCTTCTTGTTGCTTTGATCCCTTTACCATTATGTAATGCCCTTCTTTGTCTTTTTTTATCTTTGTTGGTTTAAAGTCTGTTTCATCAGAGACTAGGATTGAAAGCACTGCTTTTTTTTTTCTTTCCATTTGCTTGGCAAATGATCCTCCATCCCTTTATTTTAAGCCTGTGTGCTTTTGCACTTGAGATGGGTCTCCTGAATACAACACACTGATGGGCCTCGACTTTTGTTTTGTTTTTTGGTTTTTGGTTTTTGGGTTTTTTTGAGACGGAGTCTTGCTCTTTCCCCCAGGCTGGAGTGCAGTGGTGTGATCTTGGATCACTGCAATCTCTGCCTCCCGGGTTCAAGCAATTCTCCTGCCTCAGCCTCCCAAGTAGGTGGGACTACAAATGCATGCCACCACACCTGGCTAATTTTTTGTATTTTTAGTAGAGACAGCGTTTCACCATGTTAGCCAGGCTGGTCTCAATCTCCTGACCTCGTGATCTGCCCGCCACAGCCTTCCAAAGTGCTGGGATTACAGGTGTGAGCTACCGAGCCCAGCCTGGGCCTTGACTCTTCATCCAATTTGCTAGTCTGTGTCTTTTAATTGGGACATTTAGCCCCTTTACATTTAAGGTTAATATTGTTATGTGTGAATTTGATCCTGTCATTATGATGTTAGCTCGTTATTTCGCCCGTTAATTGATGCAGTTTCTTCCTAGCATTGATCGTCTTTACAATTTGGCATGTTTTTGCAGTGGCTTGTTCCGATTGTTTCTTTCCATGTTTAGTGCTTCCCTTAGGAGCTCTTGTAAGGCAGGCCTTGTGGTGACAAAATCTCTTAGCATTTGCTTGTCTGTAAAGGATTTTATTTCTCCTTTGCTTATGAAGCTTAGTTTGACTGGATATGAAATTCTGGGTTGAAAATTCTTTTCTTTAAAAATGCTGCATATTGGCCCCCACTCTCTTCTGGCTTGTAGGGTTTTTCAGAGAGATCTGCTGTTAGTCTGATGGGCTTGCCTTTGTGGGTGACCCAACCTTTCTCTCTGGCTGCCCTTAACATTTTTTCCTTCATTTCAACCTTGGTGAATTTGATGATTATAAGTCTTGGGGTTGCTCTTCTCGAGGAGTATCTTTGTGGTGTTCTCTGTATTTCCTGAATTTGAATGTTGGCCTGTCTTGCTAGGTTGGGGACGTTCTCCTGGATAATATCCTGAACTGTGTTTTCCAACTTGGTTCCATTCTCCCCATAACTTTAAGGTACACCAATCAAACGTAGGTTTGGTCTTTTCACATAGCCCCATATTTCTTGGAGGCTTTGTTCATTCCTTTTCATTATTTCTTTTCTAATCTTGTCTTCACACTTTATTTCATTAAGTTGATCTTCAGTCTCTGATATCCTTTCTTCTGCTTGATCAATTCAGCTAGTAATACTTGCGCATGCTTCACGAAGTTCTCGTGCTGTGTTTTTCAGCTCTATCAGGTCATTTATGTTCATCTCTAAACTGGTTATTCTAGTTAGCAGTTCCTCTAACCTTTCTTCGAGGTTCTTAGTTTCCTTGCATTGGGTTAGAACATGCTCCTTCAGCTGGGAGGAGTTTGTTCTACCCACCTTCTGGAGCCTACTTCTGTCAATTCGTCAAACTCATTCTCCGTCCAGTTCTGTTCCCTTGCTGGCGAGGAATTGTGATCCTTTCGAGGAGAAGAGACATTATGGTTTTTGGAATTTTCAGGCTTTTTGCGCTGGTTTTTCCTCACCTTCATGGGTTTATCTACCTTTGGTCTTTGATGTTGGTGACCTTCGGATGGGGTTTTTGTGTCAACGCCCTTTTTGTTGATGTTGATGCTATTCCTTCCTGTTTGTTTTCCTTCTAACAGTCAGGCCCCTCTTTTTCAGATCTATTGGAGTTTGCTGGAGGTCCACTCCAGAGCCTGTTTGCTTGGGTATCACCACCAGAGGCTGCAGAACAGGAAAGATTACTGCCTGTTCCTTCCTCTGGAAGCATTGTCCCAGAGGGTTACCCACCAGATGCCAGCCAGAGCTCTCCTGCATGAGGTGTCTGTCGACCCCTGCTGGGAAGTATCTCCCAGTCAGGAGGCACAGGGGTCAGGGACCCACTAGAGGAGGCAGTCTGTCCCTTAGGAGAGCTTGAGTGCTGTGCTGGGAAATCTGCTGCTGTCTTCAGAGCCAGGGGGCAGGGACGTTTAAGTCTGCTGAAGCTGTGCCCACAGCCGCCCCTTCTCCCAGGTGCTCTGTCTCAGGGAGACGGGAGTTTTATCTGTAAGCCCCTGACTGGGGCTGCTGCCTTTCTTTCAGAGATGCCCTGCCCAGAGAGGAGGAATCTAGAGAGGTAGTCTGGCTAGGTGGCACTGTGGCTCACTCCTGTAATCCCAGCACTTTGGGAGGCCAAGGCAGGCAGATCACGAGGTCAGGAGATCGAGACCATCCTGGCCAACACGGTGAAACCCCCGTCTCTACTAAAAAAAAAATAAAAAATTTAGCCGGGCATGGTGGTGGGCGCCTGTAGTCCCAGCTACTCAGGAGGCTGAGGCAGGAGAATGGCATGAACCCGGGAGGCAGAGCTTATAGTGAGCCAAGATCACGCCTCATGCCACTGCACTCCAGCCTGGGCAACAGAGTGAGACTCTGTCTCAAAAAAAAAAAAAAAAAATAGAGGTAGTCTGGTTACAGCGGCTTTGTGGTGCTGCGGGGGACTCCACCCAGTCTGAACTTCCAGGAGGCTCTATTTACACTGTGAGGGGAAAACCGCCTACTCAAGCCTCCATAATATCGGATGCCCCTCCCCCCACCAAGCTGGGGCATCCCAAGTGGACTTCAGACTGCTGTGCTGGCAGCGAGAATTTCAAGCCAGTGGATCTTAGCTTTCTGGGCTCCATGAGGGTGTGATCAGCTGAGCTAGACCACATGGCTCCCTGGCTTCAACCCCCTTTCCAGAGGAGTGAACAGTTCTGTCTCACTGGCATTCTAAGCACCACTGGGATATGAAAAAACAAAAACTCCTGCAGCTAGTTTGGTGTCTACCCAAACAGCCACCCAGTTTTGTGCTTGAAACCCAGGGCCCTTGTGGTGTAGGCACCCGCGGAATCTCCCCTCTGTGGGTTGTGAGGACTGTGGGAAAAGCGTAGTATCTGGGCCAGAATGCACCGTTCCTCAGGGCATGGTCCCTCACGGCTTCCCTTCTCTAGGGAAAGGAGTTCCCTGACCCCTTACACTTCCCGGGTGAGGAAACGCCCCACCCTGTTTCTGCTTGCTCTCTGTGGGCTGCACCCACTGTCTAACCAGTCCCAATGAGATGAACCCGGTATCCCAGTTGGAAATGCAGAAATCACCCACTTTCTGCATTGATCTCGCTGGGAGATGCAGACCGGAGCTGTTCCTATTTGGTCATCTTGCCAGGTACCCCAGGCTTTTTAAATTGACATAAAAAGCATTTTTAATAAACTAAATTGAACAAACACATTATTTTCCATTACCTTTCCTTTTTTTTTGCCTTCTAACATGTGATGGATGGGCTGACAATATTAGGTGAGAATTAGGTAGAAATTATTCTAGAGAAGTCCAAAGAGACTTATTTTAATTATAACTGAATTTGTTAAAATATTGAAATATTTCCTACTCCAAATAAAGAATATGCTTTGGAATCTATAGAGAAATTCTTCCTATAATACACAGAGTCACTGCCTATAATCTCTTGTCATGCATGGGCTGTTTCTCTCTTTGGTTGCTTGGCAGTTATACTGTAATAAAAGGGAGTTCATATTTTAGCTGCTTGCTTTTTATTGCTGCAACTGAGATTGAAGTTTTTTATTTTCCTCACTTTGATTCTTTAAGATGTTTTCTTTTACATAGATCTATTGTTTTCATTTTTAAATGTTTTTCATTTAGATTTCTTTTAGGTACTTCCTGTGAATTTTATGGGTCTCCATTCTTATTATTGTTGTGGTTGTCATTTCTGAAACCAGTAAAGCATAGCCTTTTACAGGGTTGCCTTGTAACAATCTAGTGAGCTAGAAGAAAGTTTGACAGTCTATTTCTCTACAATTTCCTACCCAAATAATGATTCTGTATGTAATGTTGTTAGAATAACTTTTGAAATTCCAAATATGGTCTTTTTTCTTATGTTCATTTTTGGCAATTCCCAAATACTGTGCTATTGTCTTCCTATTATGACTTACTAAAGAAAGCACAGAAGTAGAGTCAAAAGCCCTGGATTAAGTCCAAGTTCCACCACTTACTGATTCTATGAATCACTTAACTTCTTTGAACCCCACTTTTCTCAGTTGTAAAATGGGAGTCATATTAACATCACAGAGGTTATAAAAACAAATAGTATACTAGTAATGGTGTAAAATTTTAGAGTGATTAATTTTATTGCTTTCTGTCCTGACTCAAGTGCCCCAGGTAGCATGAAGTAAAGGGAATAGAAAGAGTATAATTCAAAGGAAATAAAATCTGCCTTCAGAATAGAGCTTAGAATTTGTCCTTCACACATTTTCATTTCCACATATACACCCTGCACTTACTTGACATATACCTTATCTTTTTTCAGCTTGTGATCTTTTTCAGGTGGCTTTCTTGAAGTTTTTAAGAAAGCCTGGGAAGATCTTCTAAACTGAAGAGCTTCTAGGATGAGGTTGAGTACTGGTGGTAAAAAAAATCCCAGAAGAAAGCAAAATTTAAATGCACCCTAGCACTGCCACCATCTGTCCAACCGATCTAGTTCCCCTCCAGAAATCACTACCACATTCTCTCCTCAAGCCAGGTTGGGGATAGATGTGGATTTTGAGATAGGAATAAAAGCTGATTCATGGCTTTGCATGTATGTATTTAGATATGTATAGGGTCACTTAGTCTTATGGAGATCAAGTGGAGTACTAGAAGGTAAGGAACAAATGAACTTTATGAAATGTGTGAGAGACGTGGTCCCAAAGAAACTTCTAGGAGTTTGTCAAATCAAATAGAAACATGTATGTGGGGAGGTCTGAGAGAATGGTAACAAAAGTAATAATCCTAGGCCACTAATATAGGAGGAGTTTGAAATGAACTTGATGTAGTTGGTGGTAAGTACAAACACAGGAAGGGATGCAATTTAGTGCTTAGTCTTTCTATTTCATTGTATTATTTCCCCCAGTTAATTAAAGCATTTGTCCATTGGAAGATACTTGATTTACTTTCCAAGGTCTTTTGGTATTTTTGCAGAATGAGAAATTGGTTTGTACTAACTACAATTAATAACAGTGGAAAACAGCATTCCATCACAAGTATGCACGGATTCTGTGTACCTCATAGAAGAATATAAGAATGAGAAAACTGTTATGACACTAAATAACACA